TACAATAAACTATTATTTCACGTGATCATTTGTATTCTGGAAATCATTGGTGAATGCCCACAGTTATTTAATCTTTGCTTTGTAACTGCTATTCTGTTTGGATTGACAATCAGCATCTCTTTTTAAATGGATGATGATTTCAAATTCTTGGAGAAAAATAACCTTATTTTGTAAGAGCCAGTAAACTTAACATGATTTAATCATTTATAATATACTCAGGGTAAATCTATAATGAGATATGTGTGCAAAGAAAGACCCAGTGAATGAGTCTTGTTGAAATGATGGTCCACTAGTCAGCTGGTCTTCTAATGAGACCCAAGATTGGAGTGTCTTCTCATAGGCCACTGCAGGACAAAATGCTAAAGGCATAGAGGGAATAGATGTACCAGACAGAAAATAGCAAAAAACACAAAAAATTATGTAAATTTATTAACTTATAGATATAAAGTGTGTTAATCTTGAAAATTGACCACTATGTTTAATATTTACCACTGAGAAATGTCACATAATAAAAAGTCCCGAATATTTGTAAAGAGCAAAAATATTTTTTCATGTTCTGTCACTCTTATCTTTCTCTTCTCTCCTTTCACCTCCCTGCTCTTCCTTTTCCATTCATTCATATCTCTAAAGCTGAGTAGAACATATATCTAAATAATTATTTGGCTGTGATAGTATAGTTCTACACATTGAGAAAAAAATTTTTCCTTCACTTAAAAAATTATTTTTTACCCCAACTGTTCCATTTCTATCCATACCTTCACATACATCTCTAGCTCTACTTATATGGTTACAGTGTAAATGGCATATGTGTTATACCAGGAGTGTCGGAGTATGACTAACGTCAAATAACTCTATGTGAATATTTACAAACAGTTTACTCCTAGCTATCTAAAGCCCTAAACTTAGAAGATGTAGGAAAGGCACACAATCAGAAATGATTTCAAATGCTAGCTCAAGTAGGCAATTTTCTCACAAACTCTGCACGTGGGCTATATTCGTGAAAATCCTAAATTTCTAAACACTGATTATCTTGACAATTCTGCCAATTGCCTGACAGTTGTGTCTCCCCTTTCAGAAACTCACAATCCTATTCTATAGCCAAATTTGAAAGATTTATTGATATAGAAAAATGAACATATATCTGAAAACATATTTGACATGTGTAAAATAAAGTTCACTTAGTTCATGTTTGAAATCCCCCTAGAATGTGACCTCTCTTGTATCTTTTACAGAACATTCCTTTCCTTTGCCTACATAGCTTCTGCTATTGTGTCATTTTAATGTTTTCCAAAGTCACCCCGCTTATTATATTTTCTGTCCTTGTGACAATTATGAACTATTTTTGTTATAAATTATCTTCTATATAGACAGCTTATACAACTAAATAAAAGGAAAATGAATGATCCAATTAAAAAATGAGCAATAGACCTAAATAGAATATTTTCAAAAGAAGACGGAAGGAAGGCCAAGAGACACATGAAAGCATGCTCAAAGTCATTAATTATCTGAGAGATGCAAATCAAAACAACAATGTGGTACCATCTCATACCTGTCAGAATAGCCAACATCAACAAATCAACAAACGGCAAGTGTTGGCGAGGTTGCAGAGAGAAAGGAACACTCGTGCACTGCTGGTGGGAATGCAGACTGGTGCAACCACTGTGGAGAACAGTATGGAGTTTCCTCAAAAAACTGAAAATGGAACTTCCATTTGACCCAGTAATCCCACTCCTAGGCATATATCCCAAGAAACTAGAAACACCAATCAGAAAGGATATATGCATCCCTATGTTCATAGCAGCACAATCTACAATAATTAGAATTTGGAAACAGCTTAGGTGCCCGTCAGCAGATGATTGGATCAAAAAACAATGGTACATCTACACAATGGAATACTATGCTGCCATAAAAAGAAGGAATTCTCATCATTTGCAGCAACCTGGATAGAATTGGAGAACATCATGCTGAGTGAAATAAGCCAGTCAATGAAAGAGAAATACCACATGACTTCACTCATTTATGGATAATAAAGCACATTATAAACTGATGAACCAAAAGATAGATATAGAGACAGTAATGCAACAAGCAGACTGTCAAATTACAGCAGGGAAGGTAGGGAGATCTGGGGGAGATAAGAGATTAACCAAAGGTCTTGTATACATGCATATAAGTACAACCAATGGACACAAAACTCTGGGGGATTGAGGATATGTATGGGAGAGGGGGGGGGCAATGTTAAAATATGTACACAGATAATAATTTAATAAAAAAATAAAAATAAATAAATTATCTTCTAAAATTAAACTGCTATAACCAATCTCATTTTTAGCAAAAGACCTTAAGTTAGGTGTAAAGTCTCAGAAGAGAAACAACAGAATTTTATTTATATTTTTGGTCTATTCATTGGCATTGAAATTACATTTGGGCAAGATTATATTCCATATTTGTAATACAACTGTTTAAAGGCTCACAATTAAAAAACTATTATTAGTACCATTTGTACAAATGAATACTAGACAAATTAATAACACTGATTTCCACAACTGATGAAAGAAACTCACATCTCAGAAATTCTGAGCAAATCTTATTAGGTCACCCGAGTAGCACCAATAATTAGTAACCCCATTTTACAGGTGAAAACACTGAGGCTCAGATTAATTACCTTGTTCAAGGTCATTTTACAAGTAAGTAGCAGGACACATTTGAACCCAGACCTTTCTGACTTCAAATATCCTGGTGTTTCCAACATATCCCACTGCTTCTCTGAGAACAAATAAATATTGACAATGACAACAAAAGTACTTTAAAAAAGTGTAATGAAGAGAAGGACATCAATAAGAAAGAAAAAGAAGACCATCCTGTTTCTGCATTGATATCTGAGCTAGTTAGCTGTTGTGACTAAGGCCTCTGACACTATGTTTTCATAGTATTTACCTTCTGAGAATTTCAAAATTCTTATAGGAAATGTCTTTTGGTGTCTCAGTAAATGTTTTGTTTTTATTGTTGCTGTTCCTAGTAATAAGCCTTGTTTGAAACCAGTTACACTTCAAGCAGAGTTGAAAAGTTAGTATCTATTCTCAGTCTGCAGATAATGCATGCTCTGGTACCATATTCAGAGAAATTTTTAAAATTTTTTTACTAAAGGTTTCCTGTCTGTTATTGGGCTAGAAAATTCGAATAAAAAGTGCAAACATTACTGTCAGAAATACAGCATGTCATCAAAAACTGCTGTGGAAACTCAAAGATAGATAAGAAATAATGAGGTTTATAGATTCATTAGCATTTGAATGATGAAACATGTATATGTGTTACTCCTTTGATCAATACTGCCCTGGAGGGAGAGTACTGTATTTAATTGTCTTTCCCAGACCTTCCTCTGTGGACATCTGGTTGCTATGCAGTCCTGAAGCAGGACATTTCCTTGCTCAGTGTTATAGAATTCTAGTTCCTATTTTATTACCTGTGATGGCATATATTAGGAAGAAATGTATGAAAAAGCATGATCAGAAAACTGAGAGCATGTTCAGGAAGGCTATGTCCTCCATTCTCTCTGCATCACCCAGACTTGATTGACAGATGTGCTGTAGATGAACAGGTCATATCATTTCTAGGTAGTTATTAAATTGGAGTGATTTTATTATATATGTTGTATTGTATACAGATGATCCCTGACTTATAGTTTTTAGACTTTGAAAAAGAGGATGATATGCAATCAGGAGAAGCTATACCTTGAATTTTTTTTAATTTAAATTTTTTATTGATTAAGGTATCATATATTTGTCCTCAACCCCCTATACCTTAAATTTTGAACTTTGATCTCTCCCCAGGTATTGATAGGCAGTAAGCTATTCTTTTTAAATAAATATATTTCACAGAGACGAAGGGAGAGGGATAGTTAGAAACATTGATGAGAAAGAAACATTGATCAGCTGCCTCTTGCACACCCCTTACTGGGGATGTGCCCGCAACCAAGGTACATGTCCTTGACCAGAATTGAACCTGGGACATTTCAGTCCTCAGGCTGATGCTCTATCCACTGAGCCAAGCCGGCTTCAGCAGCAGTAGGCTATTTTTGTGATGCTGAGCAGAGGCAGTGAGCCATGGCTCCCAGGCAGGCACCCATGAGGTAAACCGCCAATCCTCTAGTGCAGTGTTTCCCAACCTTCTCTCATGATGAGAATCACCTGGTGGAGTTGTTAAAACACAGATTCCCGGATCCCAACTAAGAAGTGCTAAACTAGAATTTTTGAGAACACATAGGTAAAATTGCATACCTAACTTAGTGCTCTGTATATAAAATCTGTCTTAGAGCACTAGTTAAGTATACAATTTTACCTATATGTTCCCAAAAATTCTAGTTTAGCACTTCTTAGTTGGGATCCGGGAATCTGTGTTTTAACAACTCCACCAGATGATTCTCATCATGAGAGAAGGTTGGCAAACACTGTTCTAGTGTACTTTGCTGCCAGTGTTTTTGGCTATTGTATCCTGAGCATGTTTAAGGTAAGCCAGGCTAAGCTATGATGATTGGTAGGTTAGGGTCTTAAATGCATTTTTTTTTCTTTTTGATGTTTGAAATTCAAATAACTTTTATTTAAATTGAAAACATGCTTCTTAAAACTATATTAATAATCAAAAAACCCTTTTCTATAAAAATTCTATAGCGTATTTGTAGATAAGGCAGAAGTAGTTCTAGGTTAATAAGACCAGCTTTGACTTCAGACTTTATGTTTTAAATTGTAGAAAATGGAGGGGGGAAAAAAGGTAGGTTATTTGCAGAAAACATGATCTCCATATGTACTCAGAGGTACACATTTGGTGACAGGAGAGACTTTTTAGGGCATGTTGGGATCTTAGAAGCAGTTCTCAAAGTTTTATTTTCTTGGATATTAAAAATGCCTAAGATCCTTCTTTATCCTGGGAGTCAGATAACACATTAAATGTCCCATATCAGCAATTTATACTCTTCACAAGGGGTATATCTGAAGCCATACTGAGTATTACTGTGGGGGAGAGTGGAGTAGGTTTGTAAAGAAGTTGAGATAACCTCGGTGAAAAATTAGCTGAACAGGCTCATTCCTTTCTATGGTAACAGCGCCTTCTTTATTGACATTACTTGTTTGTGACAACTTAATATTTCCATTTCCAAGTTCCCCACTTGCAGAAAATTTCACTCTGTCTTTTGCATAGGAAATTACAACAGCATCTTCGAAACGACTGAGATCTCTGCATATATGCACAAATTCACCGGGAGGCATCTTTACTACACAGCCATACACTTGCTCTGGAATCCCAAGTTGTTCAACATCCAAACCCATTAACTTCATTTCATAGTCTGAAACTGTTTCTTGATTTGGAACTTCAAATTCTAGTGCCAAGCTGTCCACATTAGCTTCAGCTCTTGGGGTAGTGATGGCTTCGTTGCCAGCGCATTTTAGTATTTTGGACATGGTGGGGCTCATGCCCACTGACAGGTTGTGGTTGCAGCTGTAGGTATGGGAGCCCTGAGAGCACGGGGCGAGGTGCACCAAAGAGATATCCCAGCAGGCCTCACTGGCTTGGTACTGCATATTTTTTTCAGGATGGAGCCCTGAACCAGGTGTAGTTCACACATGATGGGGAGTCACAAAGATGCAGCTAGAAGCAAAGGGAAGTGGGAGGTGTAACCAGTTTAGACTTCACAGAATGAGAGTGAGCAGGCTGAGCAGCAATGAGAGATCCTTGCCGAGATCAAGGAAGATCAATTAAATGCATTTTTGACTTGCGGTATTTTCAATGGACATGGGTTTCTTGGATCTTAACCTCATCTCAAATCTAGAAGCATCTGTTCATCTGAGCTACTTCATTAGATGAGTTCTACAGGCACTGTGAAATCACCCTTTTTCTTTTGTGATTTCCCAATCCAGTTGCAAACTTTGCATATGCAAACAAGGCCAAGGCCACATATTTTTGTAATGGAGTAAGTGCATTACAGTCAGATAAACCTGGCATCAAGTATTGATCTCACTGTCTTCTAGCTCTGTGATATTCAGGGAATTTTTCAATTTCTGTGGGCCTTAGTTTCCTCATCTGTGAAACGGGGCATTCGTATGTATCTCATGGAACCTTGAAGAGAACCAAATGAGTAATATAAATAAAAAGTTTGACTTATTGCATACATTATTTTCTTTCTCCATTTTACTTCTTCCCAATGATCTGTCCTGACAAAGTGCTCAAAGTGAAGTAGTATCTGTAGTAATCATCAAAAACAAGATTTGCTACAAAAATATTATTTTAATGTTTTGAATAATCTAAAACAGATTTGTTGCAAAAAATATTATTTTTAAATCAGAAATGTATATGATTTGGGGAAATGGACAGAGATTTGCCTACTTTAAGCTGTATTTAAATTATTTGCCAAGGGCTGGCCAGGTGACAGGGAGGAGTGTGCTGCAGTTGATGGTGGTCAGTAGCCAGAGTGGGATATCAAATATGCCCTGAATAAAACAGAAAGTGGATTTCTAAAGATGGATAATTGAGAATTCCTAATATTTCCTTTTTTTTTGCTTATGAACTGGTGACACACATGAGGGATGGGGCAATCCAGGACTTAATGGAGGGCAAATTCTAAAGTGCCCCAAAACTTACCTTGCTAGAGAGAAGGATGCCAGCGTCCACCGGGTTTCTGCTTGTTAATTTCTACGGTGGCTGCTCCTGGGGAAATTGTCCTCATTTGCATTGTCTTTCAGTGACCTACCTGGAGGCACACACCTGCAGACACTTTATGTTCCCAGGAAGTATCACTTGGGACAGAGAGTCACATCCATTTAGTGCAACCAACTATGTTAAAATAACATTATGGGCAAATATTTCAAAGCTTAACATTTCAAATGATCACTTCACATACTATTTTACTCTCTCTTATTGCTCATAAGTAATATATATCACGTCCAACATAACTTTTTGGCCTCTCCTTTGCCCTGAATTTTTAACTTTTCCAAAGGAATTGTTAGAGCTAATTGTAGGAATTCAGCACTGCACTCATATATTTTAAGAGAGAGGAAAATATCCCTGGTGAAAGAATGATTTGATTTCAGTTGAAAATAAAGAATGAATTAAAAATAATAATAATAAAAAGGAAATGCATTTGGTATTGTGAATAGGTATGTTACTTATAAATTATGCATGTATGCATGATTGCATATTAAAGAGAATCTGTTAGTCATAAAAATTACCATTTGCATATTCCATATATAAATGTGGTTTACTCTAAATGTAAGCATATATGAATATATAAAAAATATATTTTCTGAATAATTATAATTTATACATTTTACATTTTAAGAAAAAATAATCTGGAAAGAAAAATTTTGAATGTGTATTAGCAATTTTTAAAAGTATAAGTTTCTTTTAAAAAAAACTATTTCCTTGATCTGCTTAGAACATTCTTCAAAAGAATGGTTTCCTTTCTTGAATTAATGTTCAAAATCTCGTTTTATTTTATTTATTTCTATTTATATGTATGTATGTGTGTTCTTAATAGTCATAGCAAAATAGATTCAGCTGGTTTAGGGTTATAAGAGAGAGACTTTTAAAAAGCACTTCCTCTGTGTTGTCAAGATACTGTTTGCACTGAAGCTATAAACTATATGTTTGACTAGTCACAGAGCCCACTGAAGGAGGAAAATCAAGCCATGTTTAAAGAAAATAAGTTAATTTTCAAAGCAATCATGGCTTAAATTAACATGTTTACCACAAATGTAGTAGAAATGTAATTCCCCCCCACCCCCAATGGCTAAAACAATGAAGAGGTCTGCCTTAAACACTTTCTCCCTTAGGCAGCTATACATAAAGGTTCTTGTGTTTAGGTTTTGGCTTTTCATTGGAGCTTTCTCCACCATGGAAATAATAAGAACTTGGGTAATTTATATCATGTGACATTGGCAATTATTATTTATATTGATATGGAGAAGCATCAGGTACATACTGATAGTAGATTGGGTTTACCTGTATAGCCACAAGAAACTAAGACACAGAAAGGAGATAGTTTGCTACCTATATGTGCAGAGACCGTATGTGGTCATAAAGATATTCTATTTAATGATCCTGGGACTCACATACCAACAGCAACCAACAGATGACCTCCTATCTCCAGGAAGTCTGCAAAGCCCCAGGCGGAGACATCTTATTCATGATGCTAACCTAGTTATTGCCAATGATAGTTATGTGTTAGTCTTTTCTCTTCAATTAGACTGCAACTTCACAGGATGTATACTTTCCTATTACCTCCCCAGTTCACTCTGTCTAACATTATATTTTTGTTAAGAATCAAGGTTTATTAGGTATTTGGTTGAAAATAATCCCCATGTGTATTATAGTGCAAATAGAATGATTCACTTTGTAGAGTTAAAATAACTAAAGAGATGAAAGGAAAGTAGTAGATGTGGAGATAAGTGAGACTTTGTAGAAATAATTATTGATTTGTACTGGTGAAATTCATACATCTCAGGACTAACTTAGGTATCACTTTTGTGGCTTTTAACAAGCCACATTCTATTTTCTTGTAGGAGGTCTCCTGAGTCCATGTAATATTATAGAATCTGTCTTCCCTTCATGAGCAGAAATTCACTAACCTCACAGGCTCTGGCTAGCACTTGGGGAAGTGCTAGCCAGAGCCTGTGACCTGATCTACTCCTCGGATCACGTCAAATAAACCCCAGCTTTAAGAAAAGAATAGTTTGCTTTTGTTCTGATCTGAATTATTCGAACTGGCGGACTATAATAATTACATGTTGAATACCTTTGCTTTTATTTTCATTTCACTTGTGTAGAAGAGTCCAGCAGAAGAGAGGTTGGAGTAAGATATTAGAAGTGAATGGATCTTCCAGGTAAAGATTCGCCCAGCCGCCCAGTTAGAATTTGAGACCAGCTCAACTGATTAGTGGATTGGCATAACCCCTCCTTCTGGTGGAATCAATGCTAATTCTGGACATCTCAAACCAGACTTTGCAACCCCTGGTGGAGTGTATTCAAAGGAAGGTGCAGAGAAGGAGGCAAAAGCCTGTGCCCAGCCCATCTCTCCCACATCCCCTTTGGTGCAGAGTGGAATGAGAAGTGGCCAGGATCAATATCTCTTTTCCTAGTTTTTTCACGGAGAAACCTCACGCAAACCTGAAAATATTAATAGACTAATTACCAGTGCCTTCATTTGCAAGTCTTATTCGTTGTTTTTTTTTTTTTTCCTTCTCAGCCTTCCTGCCCACCTCCTCTCCCCTCTCCTAGGTTTCAGCAAGGGAAGAGAGCATCCGGGAGGGGGGGACGGTGAACTTCGCCACAAAATAAGTCAAGGGAGAAATGAAGTACTAATTAAGAAAGCCGGGGTGTTATGCAAATGGCCCACGCACGGAAGGCAGCCTAATGAATGTGCCCGGAGTGGATGGGCGTCTTCGCAGCGCCGACAGCTGGCTCCCAGGAAGGTCAGGCGCAGGCGGGTGCGCGCGAGCATAATCCTTCAGATTGGCAGCTCTGCCCCCTGGTCACCATTTGATTATCTCCCAAATTGCTGTATTTCACAGAGATAATGATTTTTTATGGTCACAGATTTGAAGACAACTGCTGTATCCTCAGGGTTGTCGTTCTGCAAGGAGACGCTGCCTCTTCCTTCAGAAGAGAGAGAGGAGAGGGGAGGGTGGGGGTGGGGGGAGAGTTGCTTCTCCTCTCTTCCTGGCAACTTACTTCCTGGAATGTTTTATTATCATAATGAAAGCGATATATAGTGTTAAGGGAATATCATTTCATTATGATATTCCCATTCCTTAGCTGGTATTCAGATCTGAATCCCAATCCTTATTCCCATCCCTTAGCTGGTGTTTAGGTCTGGAAGTCTTCGGAGGTAAAAGAGTCTTTATTTCAAGAGAGAAGGGCAAGGTTCATGTGGTGGCTCTCAAAAGTGGTGTTGTGTGTGTGTGTGTGTGTGTGTGTGTGTGTGTGTGAGAGAGAGAGAGAGAGAGAGAGAGAGAGAGAGAGAGAGAGAGAGAGAGAGAGAGAGATTCATTATGTGTCATTACTTAGGGCCAATCCTCTGAGGGCTGAGACTGAGGTCTCAGGGAATCTCCTCCACCTCCTGGGACCTCGCTTGGAGCTGTCCCAGAGTGGGAAATGAGGTTGTGACTCATGTTTGGTCTCTCTTGAGTTCTTTTCAAAAGCCTTCAAGGTGGGAACTTTTGGCTGGAGCTCCAAGTAGAATTTTCATTCAATTCTCATGTAAAGAACAATGGGGATGGGGGTGGGGGCAGCAAAGTTTAACTCCGTGAATAATATTCCCCTTGAAGACTAGTTTAGATAGCATTAGTTATGGGATTACTTGTGAGCTCAGAGATTGTAAGAATGTAATTATTTTCCTTTGAGAAGGGGACCACTGAAGCTCTGGTGTGACCTTGATTTTCTATTGATGCCATGGACATTTTTGTAGTCATTTGAACCCAATTTCTTCAAGGATGTTCTTCTAACCTGGTAAGGGAACATC